CGAGACATGTATTTGTATCGGATCGTATCGTATTTATTTTGAGCCTGATACCGGTATCAGTATTTCCTTGGTTGGTGAAAAAATACATTGTATCGGATTTGGATTTAAAAATGAAAAAAAAAAAAATCGTCTTCGTTTTTTTTCGTTTTTTCTTCAATACAGCCAAGTATCTTATGTATCAAATACGGTTTTGGTGGGATCATTCATCTGAGACGATACAGAATACATTTCTCACTTTTCAAATACGATACATGTATATGTCTCAGGAAAGTGAGACAACACAAATCCGGTATTTTTGGGTATTCCAATTCTGAGACGATACAGATAAACGCCTGATACCGTATCGTATCGTCTCTGTGGCACCGTTGTAGGGATGAAGCAAATGGTATCAGGACTGCCAAGGTTTAGTATTAAACATATTTAATTTCGTCAACATCCACTTCTGACAGGCAGCATTTCTGCCTGATTCTTATTCTTGGTGCTGTCCTTTAGTACGCTTCCACAGTATAATAATGTATCAATAACCCAACGTAGTGTAGGGATGAATGGGAATGGTTCAATACCCTATAGAGATCGTTTGTTTGTACTTGGGTACCTGTTGGTACCTAGGTACCTGTTGAATTTTTTCAAAAAATAGGTACCAAGTACCGCACCAGGCACCTCCTGGCGGGTACCGGTGGTACTTTTGGCGGGTACCGGTGGTACTTTTGGAGGGTACCACGGGTACCTCCCCTCTCTTTCTAACCTAGGTTCACTTTCAGATTACCAAGTCACTTTTTTATTATTATTTTTTCATATTTATTGTAAAATATCAGTCCCAAGTCACTTTTTTTCCATTATTTCATATTTATTGTGAAATGTTGACAACAAATTGGAAGAATCCTACTTTGTTATTATATTTTCATATTTATTGAAAATATCATTCCCAAGTCACTGTTTTTCCTTTTGTCATATTTGTTGTAAGACATCTTTAACTAATTGGAAGAACCTTACTTCATTATTATTATTATTTTCATATTTATTGTAAAATATTACTCAAGTCACTTTTTTGGCATTTTTTTCATATTTGTTGTCAAGTATCTACATCTAATGGGAAGAATCTTGCCTTTTTTCATATTTATTATAAAACATCAATCCCAAGTCAATTTTTTTCATTTGTTCACATTTAATAATTTATTTGAAAGCTTAAACTGTCTACAAATTATATCTAATTAGAAGAATCTTCATTGTTGTCCATAACTATCACCTTCCTTTTTGATTTTTGGTTAGACTTGTTATCCTTGAATCCCTGTTTCCATGTAGCAAGGTACCTTCTTGGAGTTCTTGGAGTAGAAGGCCACCATCATTTTGGTAGGGAAGTGAGGGGGTACCTGTAGCGGTACCTAGGTACCTGTTCAATTTTTCACAAAAATGAGTACCAAGTACCGCACCTGGCACCTCCCGACGGGTGCGGGGCGGGTGTGAAGGGTACCCCCCAAGCGGTACTAGGTACCTAGCAAAGGGTACCGCGGAACGATCTCTAATACCCTACACACAGCCTGGCCTGATTCAAACTCTTCTCACTTTCTTTGTTCCCATTATTCACCTGTCAAACAATCTGCTCAACTGCCCCGCCCCCTATACTCTTTCTCCCGGTCCCACCACCACCAGGCCCTATTTCCATTCCCTCCCATCAATATATTTCCTGAAGCAGATTGAAGGCCAGCACTGCTCTACTGCAACCACCGACCAGTCCCCCTGTTCCAATTTTCCGGCCCTTTTCAACTCATCAACTCCGCCTCAACATTATTTGCAACTCTTTTTCCGCTTCCGGTCCTTTTTTTTGACAACCTACGCAGCTAACATCCTTGAGTAACCTTTTTCCTTATCCGATCCCCTTTTTTCATTTCCACACTTGAATCGCAAAAAACCAATACGGGGCTGATTGGCTACAAAAATAAATGACCGGAGAGATAGATCCCAGTGAAACATGGTCAGGATCAAAAGAAGGGACAGTTGCTAACATTTTGTATTATGAATGGAAAAGAACTATGTGAAGTGAAGCAAAGTAAGTATCTTGCAGAGGATGTGGAATGTACCGCCAGTTAGAAATGAGCCTGGTTTTAAGAATGGCGCCTGGGACTGAGTTCTGACAGCAGTAATCTGAGCTATTGATATCGGATTTGGAAATGAGTGTACGTCTGATATATTTGCCGTTTGTTTGTATTGTGCAAGTTCGTTTACCTGATACGTAGTTGGGAGGTAGTATTTACCAGCAAAAGTGATCAGATTTGACTGTGATGGGTAGTTGTTTTGGTTATGGGAATTATTGTGAGCAGCAGGAAAGGAAATAGAGGTGGCAGGCAGCGATGTCTGAGTTACCTGTTTAGTGAGATGGGCGCGGCGGAGCCGCAAGTTCCCTAGTATGTGTATATCTGAACCACATCTCTGAAGTCTGATGAGTTTTGAATCCAAAATATCCAAGATCTCAGAGCTGTGTTACTACTAGGACAGACTCAATTCCATTATGGGATTATGTTCAGTCACTGAGCAACTTGAAATCCACTCATCCATTCTTGGTGACCAACCCAGAGGACATGAAAAAGGTCAAGACCCACCACTGGAAAGTACGTCTTGAAAAAACAATAGGAAACCAGCTAGCAATGTGAACATTCACCCTGATTTGGAACAATCCAACCTTGATGTTTACCCTCTTGATGAAGATTAAAACAAAACTTCAACTGCCACCAAGAAGAATTCCAACAAAAGAGACCAGCACCAACTCCTGGTGCATGAAGGTCATCAATGAAATATAAATTCTAATGTTAGATTGCATGTCAGTTTGTTTGGGCCTCTGAGGCTATTTCTTAGTTATATGTAGATCATGAGCACCTGCATGAACTGGGTTAGTTTCACCTCCTCAACCTTAAAGTAAGTCTGTAGATTGTTTAGCATGGTTGCTAGCTGGGGAAGTCATCGATTGGGTTAATCAGGTGATTGACTTAGGATGCTTATCATGTTTTCACAGGTTATCAAAGAAACTTGCAGTCCAGGTCTCATTGGAGGACTTCCCAAGACACTTCCTAATTAGAATCAGTCCTGCAGCTCCTGCAGAACCAGATTTTTGGCCTCTCACATCAGGGGTCTGGAGCTGATTCTGTGGGATCTGCAGAACATCAGCTGAAGTTCCAAATAAGCCTTTCACAATTGTGATCCCCAATACAGATTAGCTGAATCAAGATGAGCGGGACTTCATATCTGATTTTCCATTGGTGCACCGCAATCGATGGACCCTGCTCACCAGCATCTCGCCACCAAGCACCTTCCGAGAAAACATGTGGTGGCTGATGCCTTTCTCTGGAAGTTGATTACTTCTGCGGCCTGCAACCAAGCTCGAAATTGAGGTCCTCATGGATATCGTTCCTTATGGATCCCTTTGATCTATAAGCCCTTTCTCCACTCGCATTGTCTAGATACGCATGTAAATGGATACATGCTTACTTATGTACGCGGCTTGAAGCTGATTAGTAAATCCAAAGAAACGAAGGTCCCCTTTTTAAGTTGTCGGTTGTTGTGGGCATCAAGTCGTTAAGAGTTCATCAATGAGGCCCTTTGGTTGCCAAGCTGCCCAGTTGAATTCCCCCTTCTTCGTCCGAGGCCATTGATTTCTTACCTTATCATACATCCTTGGTTTGCATCAGCAGCAGGCATCAGTACGCAAGTCATATTATATCTCTGCGGAGGGTCAGCTCAGAGTCTGGAACATTTGTCCATCCCCTAGGATATGCTGGCTATTCGCCAATCGGTCCAAGCCAATCATCAGTTTGTATGTGTGCAGTCATTTCCCTTTCTCCCTGTTTCCCTGTCTCCGGTTTCTTAAGAAGCTCCACCCAACGACACGCAGAATGGAGCTGTAGGCATCAATAATCACACGATAGCTTCCATGGTGTCTTCCTTTGTTGATCAGGCGGCTTGATTTTGTCGCTTGACACCCGGCAGCTCTCCAAGTACAAGAACTAAATCGTCCCAACCGATCATAAACAAAGCTACAAACCACGCTGGTTCCTCTTTCGTAGCACCGCCTTAGCAAAACTCAGTACATATTTACATAGCAGATCATAGCCATATGTTCCTCATAGCCTCGGCGCCGGTTCCCGAGTACATACACTCCCATCTGCCACTCTGGTCTTCCGACTTGAATGTGTATGAGGCGACACTGGTTTGCAAGCCTGAAAAGCGTCCATGGACCCTGCTTTCAACTTTGCCTCCCGCATCCTCACCCTACAGACAGCCTCACTCAGATAACCTTGAGAACAAATTGTTAAGGACCTACAGTAACCATTCTAGAGCCAAATCCTCAACCAGCGATTTGAGAAAAACCCTGTCAAGCGCCTTCTCTACCATCATCGTCTTCTCTACCATCGAGCACTTGGCCCTTGTTACTCTCATCAAAACATAGTTACAGGCATAAGTATCCAGCCCTATTCATTGAATCGCGTTCACAACGACCTCATCCCAACCGGCAAGTTACCAGATCCCTTCTGAAGATCGTTTTCTGACTGGATACAAAACCAAACGTCTACAACAGTTTTGGCCGCATCGTGCGCTTCATTCCCCATCCCGTCACTTTTTCTCATTGCTTTATTTTCCAAAACAACCCGTTCTATTTCTCTTGGCCTGCACAAGAACCAACGCCCGCTCTTGATTTTTAAACCAAAGTCCATCGTTCCAGTTGTCTGTCATCGGCTTGGAACATCCTGACGGAAAAAAACTGTGTTTACTAGCGACTGAGAATCGGACCTCTGTGCTTCGGATTACAAGTTTGTTGTTGGTATGTGTGATCTTTTAATTCTAGACACAAACGCCTTCCGGCATCTTCGGATCTCATACTAACGCTCCGGCCGGTCAACGTTTTCCACCAGGCTACTTTTATTTTCAGCCACAACCACCGATAGGAAAGGCCCTCGCCCCCTCCCCACTTTCACGAACAACCGAATCCCTTCAAGGCCAACGAAAAAAAAATGGTCCGAAGACGAGCCTCAGCACCATCGGCATTGATGCTTCAACCAGCAACGGTCCCGCTCATCAGAGGCCAGCCCAAATTCATTCTACCCTCACCACCTTCCGAATACGCTATCATCCATCTGGCCGACCATCGCAAGCTGTCTGATAACTACCAGAAATACAGACTCGAACCACTTAAGGAATTGCCTCGATTGAAAGATTTCCAGGTCGACTACATCAAATGTTAAAGCTTATTGTCCCCCCCCCCTTTCTCTCTCTCTCTCGCCCCCACGCAACACCATTTCGTCCTTTAGCTTTTTTTTTGAGAAAAACTGAAGAAAAAAAAGTTGAACAAAAGTAGATCCTTACATGATTTGGCTTGCTATTCAATCCATATATACAAATGTAAAAGATGTTTATTTCGTATGTTATAATTATTATGTGCTACAGGCATTATTTGTATTTTTTCTTTTCTTTTCTCTCTTGATTGGGATGTGTTCTTTTGTACATATTCTTTCATGTCTCTATTCTTTCTTCATCCAATCTCCAAAGCAACATGAAAACATGTCAGTGTTTTGCCCCAAACTACAATAGTATTATAAACCCAGTCCGAGAGAAACTCATGGTTCTATTCTTGTTGAACAAGAGCATAGCCATATTTGGTGCTTGACTCTAGAGTAGGGGTTAGAAGTGAGAAAATGATTTAGAAAACAAAAGCTATCATGCAAGTACTCAAATAAATGAAATCCAAAAGATTTATGGTTCTAAGAGGTTTTTTCAATTCCTCTCAGTTATGATGTACTGCCATAGTACCTATGAAGGTAGGTCACTACTTAAAAGATGCAAAATTTTAGAAAATATACTTGAGTTGCTCACTACTAGCATTTATTTCCTGGCTTACTTCAAGCATGTGTGGGAGGTAAGTAGTTCCAGTATGGGAAGTCATATAGCTTTGGGTTCCACCTGTGAATCAAGGCAAGACCTCACAGATGTTGTAGATCTCGCCAGTGGAGTCTGACATGGTTGGGTTTTCCATTACAACATGATGGAAATTATGTGAAATTGGACCAATACAAATCATTATCTATTGACCTTTCAATTTTCTTTCCAATTTGGCCAACTGGTGAGTTGCACTTGTAGCGGTTGGTTTTTCTGGATGCTCCTAGAATGAAAATTAAGTATTTCCTAGAAGAAAGGGAACTGTTTATGGCACTAGGGGAATTCAAAGTTAAATTTTAAGCAGGATTTTACATAAATTCATAAGATCCAGAGGTTCACAATTTTGTTTTTCTGAAGATTCTGATTCCTCTGTGTTTGGAACACTTCTCAAAGATTCTGCAAAATTTATGATCTTGTGTAGAATGTTTTTCAAAGTCAAATTTTAATTCCCCTGGTAGCTCTTCAGTAGGACTTGATTCATCAACCAAAATTGAGTTCAACACCTGTTAAGAATCATGTTATTGATGCTAGAAAAATAGTACAAATCCAGGAGTACCAAGTGTCCATATGATAACTTAGGGCTATAGAAAAGAGATACATGCTTTACTCAGGCTTTGGCAGCACATACTGAATGGTCACAAATGTGTCAATCAAGCCTGAGTAAAACAGCCAAAAGAAAAGAATGCTGATGCTAACTTGCATGGGTCCTGCAGGACTGTGAGTTTATGGATACAACACTTACTATCACCACTAAATACATATTCAAAAAATCTGATTATATATGCTATATACACATTTGATTTAAGATATGCTCTGTGGTTCACCCATCAGTTGGATTCAGGGAGAAGCAACTCCAATCTATGCACCCCAGTAAGGAGCAAATGTGTGATTCAGCCAGCCAGGGGGGTAGAACAAGATTTTAATGTTTTGGAAGAAGTATGTACACTCATGAATCTGGGCAGCTCATAATGAGATCCAGATCTAGGATCATCTAGATTGATGTGCTGGAAGACCAACATTAGATTTTTTAAAATGTGTGAAAACTTGATTTACAGAACTAAGTGGAGTGCTGTAATGTGGTACATCAGGGAGAAAAAATAATAATATTCACAAGATAAAAACAGGAAATGAAATTGAAAAAAAAATAGAATAAAGGATTAAATCTTTCAAGACTGGGTAGACTTATGTTGTTTATGTAGATACAGAGAGATCAATCAATTGTGTGATACAACAAGAGATATCATTTCAATTGGAACCAATCACAATGGCTTTGACCCGCAAGCAACCAAAAACATACAAAAAATCACTTGATACACTAGCCTTTTCTTCTCCAAATTAACTTTTAGGGCTACCCCATATATCTACACAGGAAAATACAACCAGAGACAAGGAAACTGAACAACTGGGAAAAATTATACTCCAAGTAGCACTGTATTTGGGAACACACACCACACCAGTGACAAATATTTACTTGAGTACCTTGCTTCATTGATTGACTTTCCCTATGATTTAGCTTGGTTCTGAATATTTGGTCATATTTGATTGCATTGAGGAAAGCCTCATAAGATTGCTTCAAACACTTCCAGCTCCAGATTGCACTATGTTTAATATTTTCTTTGGGAAGGAATATGGGGACCTCCAACAACAAATCCAGAAGCCACACCATTCTGCAATAAGGAGTGGATTTTAAAGCAACAGCCGATTAAACTCAGGGAAGAAACTAAAGGAATGTGCAAACAATGTTGGGGGTTCTTGGGTGCAAGATTTTGGCAGGGGAGGGCAGCAAACCTGCACCCTGAGAATTGAACTCACCAAACCAGGAAAACCAATGGACCTTTAAAAAAATCCACAGCCAACAACAACAGAAATATTTGTCTATGAGGTTTTCTATCCCAAATCAGCTACACAGAGACACATCTGGCACCCCTTATGCAGATGTTGGGACCATTTGAATGGGAGGGTGTATCAGGGGCACCTGCCTGTTTTCTTCACAAAATCCTGGAAACCTCCTGGTGGGTTTTCACAACCAGATACCGGGTAGCTGGTTTCATCTTTGGCAATGATGTGCCATTTATGCTTACCGTAGCATTAGCACAGCATAATGTAGCAGAATTCTGCTCAACTTAGCATATTGCAGTGTAATTCCACCCCATCTTCACTGTAGATGGCCTTGTGGGACCCAGGTACTGGTTGCTTTTGTTAAAAATTAAATTCCTCACTCTAGCACCCAAAAGAGGAGAGTCTTGGGTAAGTTATTCAATCATGGTAGGGGGTATCAAATATAAGAAATCCACCATTAGAGACCAGTCAATTATCCAAAAGTTTTTTTCACCGATGGGCCCCCAAAGGGGTGTGATGAAGAACCAACATGTTTAAAAAAGGGCTTTAATAAAAAAACCCGCATTTTCCGCGTTGTGACGCGCTTTTGCTGCGGCACAGCACACACGCAATCCGTGTTTAAACGCGCTTTTTTTAATTAATTTATTTTTGCCATTAATTGCGAGTTTTTTTGATTTTTTAAAGTTGTTTCCTACAATTTAAAAGGTGTAGAATTTAATGGTAAAGACCATTTTCCTTAAAAATGAATTTTGATTATTAATTATTTTTTTTCACTCATTTTTCAATTAATTGTTTGCATGCATGTATGTACTTTATTTTTTAAGTTTTTTTGAGGTTTTAAAATCATTTCCTAGGTTTTAAAACATGCAGAATTTAATGGCGCAATCCAAATTTTTTAAAACTCAACGGCTCACTTTGAATACTGAAATTAGACACTTTGTTCATTTAAATTTTTACAGCTTAATTTTCATTCTTTTTTCACTTTTTAAATTTATTTCCCACACTTCAAGACATGGTTAAAATGATGGTAAAAATCTTTTTGCATAAAAACCAAAGATTTGTAATGAATACTGCGTGAAACAGGTTTTTTTCATGTTTTTTTAATTAATTTTTACCGGCTCAATGTTGATCATTTTTTGAAATTTTAAATCTATTTCCTACATCTAAAAGTGTGTAGAATTTAATGGTAGAATTCATTTTGCCTCAAAAGAAAATCTTCAATCTTAATATAAGAGTGTACACCATTTCTTGCACAATTTGTACTGTATACAAATTTTATTTGAATGCAAAATGGATACAGCCAACAATTTTAAAACCTTTCAAAGTGCAGGAAATGAACTTAAAATTCATAAAATAAGGATAATTAAGTGTGTAAGAATTAATTAAAGAAACATGTCAAAGGCTTTATTCAAGGTACATTTTTCATTTTGATGCAAATTGATTTATACCATAATTCTATGCATGTCTGAAAGTGTAGGAAACAGATTTAAAATGTCAAAAAATCATGAAAATTAAGCTCTTAAAAATCAATTGAATTTTAAGGCTGATTACAGTATTCAGAATGAACCGTTGAGTTTTATGGAAATTGAATGTTACCAGTAAATTCTAAACACTTTGAAACGTAGGAAACAACTTTCAAATTTCAAAAAAGCAGAAAAAATAAGGTAAAAAAATTAATGCAAACAATTGAGTGAAAAAGTGAAGAATTAAATAAAAAAAATGGTGTCAAATGCAGTATACAAGATGTAGTTCTCACTTTGATTGAAACTAATCTTTACCATAAATTTATACATGTCTGAAAGTGTAGGAAAAAAGTTTAAAATGTGTAAAAAGAATGAAAATTGAGCTCTAAAAATTTAAGTGAAAAAATGGGTGTAATTGCATTATTAAAAATGATCCATTCATTTTTATGAAAATTGGATTTGACCAGAAATTTCTACACACTTGATAATGTAGGAAAAAAATTTAAAGTTACACAATACCTTGAAAAATGAGGTAAAAAACTTAAAGCAAACAATTAATTGAAAAATGAATGAAAAAAAATAATTAATAATCAAAATTCATTTTTAAGGAAAATGGTTTTTTCCATTAAATTCTACACCTTTTAAATTGTAGGAAACAACTTTAAAAAATCAAAAAAACTCGAAATTAATGGCAAAAATAAATTAAGCAAAAAAGCGCGTTTAAACACGGATTGCGTGTGTGCTGTGCCGCAGCAAAAGCGCGTCAAAACACGGAAAATGCGGGTTTTTTCATTAAGGCCCTTAAAAATGGTGGGTTTTTCAAAACCAGTCTAAATAATGGTGGATTTGCCTATATTTGATACTCCCTAGTACAAGCATCCCAGAAAATAATAATCACACTGATTAAAGTTTTTAATCATGTATAGAGTGTTGAGCTTACAGCTTGGGGATTTATTTTCACCCCGCTGTGGCACATCAAGGAGGTGCTGAGTAATGAGAGAAACAAAGCTGGAAACCTAATGTTAAATAATTGGATATATATAGTTTCATACTTGTAACCTTGTAGATTCTTTTCTCATCCAATTTTTGGGTTTCATTCTTCTTTGAGTCAGCACTGGGCCGCTAAGCTACACTACTCTTTTTCCCCAAAAAGCATTAGCGTAGCGGTTCTTTTTGTGTGCCAAAATTTTGTAGTGTTAGCAAAAAGTTAGTGGCTTTTTGCTACACTACGCTGCGCTACAGGCCGCTGATGGCCGCTACAGGGCCAAAGTGCCACTAACCAGCACATTAGCGCAGAATAGCGGGCACTTTTCAAGGGCCTTCAAGCGTAGTGTTAGGGTGGATGTGGTGGAATTCCGCTACGCTACGCTAAAGTTAAGCAGAATTCTGCTACATTACGCTGCGCTAACCGCTACAGTTAGCGAATGAAGCTGTTCAATCACTGAACAAGCTTTAGCCAAGCAAACAGCTTGTGAAACAGGACATGACATCAATGACAACACCATTTTAATTTTTAGATGATAGCTATTATGTATCATTGAAATCTAAGTGAGTTTGTCTGTTCATAATCAAGCAGAAATACATTTGATCATTAAAAATCTTATGTTACTTTTTGAAAATCACATATATTCAGTCCACAAAATCCAAAGTTGAAGGTTTGCAAACTTATTAAACAAATCTCCCCATCATCAATTGGTGATTAGTATGATTGCCTTTCTTCAAAAGAAAGAGAGAAATATAAATAATAAATTTATTCATTTCATTTATAGAATTATCAATTCAAAACTCAAGACAAAACTCTTAACTCAAGAAGATTTTTCATCATCAAAATAACTAAAAAAATGTGGGCACTGTGTTACATTGGCATTAATTAGGAACATTTGCAACTGACATTGCTTTACATGGACAAATGAAAGGAAACACATTTGATGCCACTTTGCAACTTGTACCTGTCTTGATAGGGGTTCAAACCTCTGTAGGCATGGTAAACATTTCCTTGGTCTGGGGGTCAAAGCAAGTATGCAGACAAACCATTCATGGTTCCAGGTTGGTGCGGAGCTGAGTAGGAAGTGTATGAGTATAAATCTATACATTTATTTATCATCCTTTTGATGTTGAGCAGCTGGACATCTTGCTGATACTGATTACCATACAGGCTCAGCGTAGGTGTAGTGCTCTGAGCTGGTCTGCATCAGCTGGAGGGACTAACTATGACTTTTCGTGCGTATAGATTCGGATGGCCGAGGGCAGAGTGCTAGTGTAGGCTAGTGTAGTATGAAGAGTTTCAAGACCAGGTGACGGGACAGTCAGACCGTGAGTGGAGTTCCATGACATAACATGAGTGGAAACGAAAAGGATGACACGAAGGAGGAGAAGGACAGGGTGCGCAACATTCTATTCCGCTATGATCAACTGCAGATTCGGTAGACGACAGGATCACGAATGATGGTATCTAAATCTTCGCTCTTCACGAGTGTCTTTGCGTTCTGTGAATATTTTTTACACCTTAAGACAGAAGAAATTCCTAGCATCTTTTCGAGACCCTGCGACTTGAGCTATCGCTGCTGGACTTGGTCGTTGCCTATTCCGTTCTCCTCCTTTCGTTTGGTGTGTTCATAGTTACCGCATCAACTCCTCGGCCCTGAAGAACCATGAATTTGCCGGTTGATGGAGTTTGAGCAACTTGATTGGAAACGTAACCATTTCAACTTGTTAACCAAACTCGGCCAGACGGCTACAATCAAGTTTCAAGGTCCTCCTCATCACGGGCTAGCAGCCTCATGATCTAGCCATACAGACATTGCTGACTTTCAAGCGTCATAGCCGGAGTTGCTAACCCCAGGCCAGACTTGCTTCTTTCGGTTGGCAGACGCCGACCCATCCGGCTCCAAGACACCCGAGTCGAGGTTTCTGATTGATTTCACCCCGTCTCTCTCTGCCTCGGCACTACTGGTACCACCAGACCATTACATCACTAACATGCCGGAAGCCTTCCACTCAAGCCTTACAACGAGTTGGCAGTCTTGACTAAACCAGAGGAACTAGTTCCCTCAACAAGCCATCCCTTCTTTGAACCCGAGACGACACAAGCTGCCCTATATATTTGACTCGTGGTACCCCTATCAACATTCCAGTGACATAGGGGCAATAGATTTTTTCCAATAACTCTTCACGCCGTGCCTAGTCCAAACAGGCACTCAATTCGGATCTCATTGAATCACGCTATCGAGCTGTTCGCCCATTCACGCTCCAGGCAAGGCATCATGTTCACTGGCGGGTCTCAAGAAACGAGCTTGACTCAGATATACTGGTAAGCCAAATCTTTCCGCACTGCAAAAAAGTTATACTGCAATAGAATTAACGACAATGAACCCCGTCGAAAGCATTAGTGCGGAAAGGTGGCGAGGTTTGACTATAGGACCACATTGGAGACTCTCAATCTGCTTGTTGTCGCTTGGTTTTCTTGTTGTTTCGATTAAATGGTTAATCGATAGCATTCGAAACTGTCCGGACAAAGCCGAAGGTTATTCCATTCGGGAGGAGCGACAGCGGTCTCGGAAAAAACGCCTATCATTTACTCATTACCTCCGCTCTGAAAAAACAGTTCCAATAGGCATGCCACACAACCCTTTCCCTTAAGGACTCAACTTGATCTCGATTCTCCGGTATCTTGGCGTTGATTCCAACCCCAACTAGTCTTGCTACCTGCCTCCTAATTTCTTGAATTTTTTTATTTTGATCAACTTGACCACTTGTCCGGATACACTCGTCAAAATTTGTGATCGCATGTAAAACATTTCTTCTCTTTTCCACATATCTTCGCATTTTCCAATAGATGATCTCCTGTAATTCTATATGTTCGTTTTCTCACAATACTCTCTCGGCGCATGGTCTGCTGTTTCTGATAATCGTGATTTCTACAATGTATAAGAATACCCATTTGAGGTGGAAGAATTTGCATATGCTGAATCAAATCAAGGTGGAACCAGGTAAAGAATTAGTGCTGTTCCAACGTAAATCAATTGAAGAAAGGAAAGATTTGAGACATCCTTAAGTGAGATAGAGAACCGCTTTCATCTAGAAACCTGGAGTGTCGGAAGCAACTATTTCTGCCTGAATACAACTTACAAGTAATAAATCCAAGTATGTTCCAACGTGAATCCTCAACATGAGGTTGATTAAAATCCAGCAGCTTATTATTGCACCCATATTGCACCCAGTCGCGGTGGGCCAGTAGATCCACGTAAATTTTTGTGTGTGAATATATGTTTAAGAAGTACATTAAGTCCTGCAAGGCTTACCTGTGTTTTGAAATTCTATTGCAACTCTGATCTGACTCGCAATTTCATCAAACTGTGATGGACGTGTTGAATGACCCCCTGAAGTGGAACACACCCAGAACATATATCAACCATTGGAAGACCTTACGACTTCCTAACCCTGTTAACCTGCAGCCCTCAAATCAGACCCTGCCAGAATAGATCCTTATACATTATATAGCTCTGCTGACAAAAAATCTGCTTCACGTTTTCCAGCCCTTTGGACCCTGTAAATGCTACTCTGGCAATTATGATCGGAGGATGGTGCATATCTGGGTAAAATTTAAAACTCACAACAGAACCTCACATTTTGTAGATTTATCCTTGATTCATCTGTTTTCTTGCTGTTTCCTCAAACATATTAAATATTTGTGAAATCTGGATAATCACCTATAGTTTACTTCTATCAAATATGTGACATAGGTAGGTTGCTCAATTTAATCAAAATTGAAAAAAGTATAGATTGTGAAGTTTTAAAATGATCAAACTACAATTTTCTGGAGTGATTATTTTCAACCACAGCTAATGACCAGATTGTGGCACCTCAAGGGGAAACATGTACCTCTACACATCATTGGGCCAAAAAGAAGAAAAATGTGAAATTCCACCACATTTTCTCACACAGACAACTTGAAGCAAAATTCTGGAGTCTTGAGATTTTTGATAATCACACATGGTCGTGTGTGTGGAGGGTTCGTTTCCACAACAACAAAGAAACGGTTGTGGCAAGCAGGAGACGTTCACCGCCAGTGTAAAAAGTGATTGCTTGATCCTATTCGTGGTAAAGAAAATACAAGTTGAATGATTGGGATGACACAGTGGACGATCTTCAGCCAAGATAGTCTCGCACTTACGCAGCGTTCGACTCACACAAATAACATGTTGAATGATAGAGGAAGCTTCAGTTCTAAGATGTTGCCGAAATGTTGCTTTTTGAATGCAGGCAAAAAATGACTGCCGATCATCCTGACTGTTTTGTATATGCTCAGGAGATATATGAGCATAACGTTCGAATGAAGAGACAACAGAAGTTTGCGCAAAAAAGCAGACAGGAAAACTGAACATCTTTGCGATCGTACATATTTCGCGCTTTGGCACGCTTTTCCTTGATTCTTCAAGCTGCATCAAACGAATGGACAGTGCAATATGCACTTGCGGCTGGGGGTTGGGGGGAAGGAGGGCACTCGGGCTCTCCGCACATTTCAAGCTATGCAATGCCCAGCTCGATGAAAGCCAATTTTAGAGCTGTTTTTTCGAGAACTCGGACCCACACAGATTTTCGTGTGAGTGCCCAGTACGTTTAAGAGTCCGGAATGAAGAATTCTCACGCCTAACACCTTTTCTGCTCTTTGGATAGCTTACTTCGATCTGTTATATCCTACCTTTACAATCCATTGATTTTCTTCTTTTTTTATTGATCAAAAACGCTGGTCAGAAACAGTGTTTAGGATGTAAGTCCGGATCTTTCCCTCTGTCGCATCGCTACGTGATTCATCCTACCACATCCGTTGTGCCTATTCGATACAAAACCAAGCCGTCCTGATGAAAAGGCATCGTTTTCACATGCCTGAATGGATTTGTTTCCTCTAATTCGTGATATCATCAAGTTTTGACCCTATTTTCCTTCTTGCTTTGTTCTACCAGCATCCTCAATTTCTATTTTCATCTTCCAATCTAAAGACTTCTGTCGATGGCCCTTGCAGACCAACCCCGTGAGACCGACCCGGAGGCGGAGACCGGCGAACCATGGGACTTTCCTACTCTGACACCGGAAAACTTCAGTGAACTACCAATCTGAAGTTTCGTCTCTTTGGTATCGGGAGAGAAGCTAACGTTTATGAATTTACTTCGATTTAGGCGGGAGTCCCCAAAGGCGAAAACAACCGCAGGATCCTCTTGCTGGTGAGCAACAGACGTTAAATCATGCGAAGCCTTCTGGAAAAAATTAACCTTGTCAATTTATGTACAGTGCAATTATCCTTGGCGGAGGCGTTCAAAAATTATGATCAGGTTTTACTCTTCCTGGAGCAAGATGGGCGACTAGAGTCAATATTACGAAAACTCGCATTCCATGAGCTTTTGAGCGATCGCCAACGGCATGAATTTTCCTTACCTGACCCTGACAAACGAAATCCTGGCCGATTTCTTCGCTTTCTTACTGCTGCTGATGCTTCTGCCCTTCTTGCGGGCGTTGTCATCTTGATGGGCGCGGACCCGGTTGGCAGATTACTTCTTCGTCTGGGTAAACAGCTCACTCGATTATATATGATAGCGTTGCTAGCATCCTGAATGCTTTTTGTCTGTTTCCTAACAGATGATCCACGTGTTCAAACTTTGCTGAAGCAGTCGAAGGGGTTTGATAGGCCAGGTTTTTGATATTTCTCTTCCATGTGTTCAGATTGATTGCTAACGCGAGCTTCGCATGAATTGTTTCTCCTCAGTAAACTCACCTAAAAGCCCTTACACCGACTTCTATGAGATAACACGAGTCCAACTTTTGAGAAGCCCACCACCACCCTTAAGGTTTTCTCCAGCTCCAACTCAGCCTATGGTGTTGCGCTCTCCTCCAAGCACCCCAACACCTGCATACTTTGCGCAACTTACCTCCCCAGAAGAGCCCCTCAGCCCTAGTTCTTTAAAGGGCGAGATGCATGATATCCCTGAATTACCCATTCACAATATTCCGGATGAAGCTTCAGAAGAACAACAATTCCCCTTCAGCGTCATTCGGGACATTGAGCTCAGTGGGGCGCGAGTGATCCTGACTCGGACACATACCCTGTCAGTAAATCAAGTACCATAACATCCTTTCGGCAGAAACTGAAACTTCGGATTCGGAAAGCTATCGAGATTCTTCCAGCCGCTGCTTTGTTGCGTTCAATATTGTCTTCCAACCCAGACAAGATCGTTTCCGTACTGCAGAAATCTCGATGACTTTTCTTCCCATCGCTGGAATCAAACAACATCCTGTCATCTTGGTAAGTCAATGGCGGCACTCCAAACAATTAGAACACTAGCTTACTAATTCCCGACGGCACCTTTAAGAACATTTTTCCCAACCCGAATCAACGTTGGTCCACAGGCCCTTCATGTGACCTTATTTCGAATGCAAGAAAGAACATCAATCTGATGGTGGGAACTGCTACTCCGGTTGCCGCGAATGTCAGCGCAAATCTTGGTTTGGAAAAGTCGACCGAGATTAAATCAGCTTCGAACTCCAGCCTCACTGCAGCCGGAGTTGCTACATCCAAACTTACGATCTCATTATCGGAAAGTCGTGGTAAGAGAAGCTACCATGAATTGCAGTAAAGCCATGATTGCTGAATTTTTTTTCCGACGTTAAATTTCCATCCAGCTGGAGATGGGATAATATACAGCTTTGCATTCGCCGTTGTTCTGGATTTGAGGACTCAGAGCAAACCTGATTTTTCCGCTAACTTGCGGATAAATTGGCAATTGGGCAATCGAAGCTGGTTCCCCCGACATCGATTCTCGATTTCAGAGGAGGTTGCCTTCAGCAAGCAGACAGAGCTGGATGGGGGCGACTCTCCTTCGATTTCGTCAAGGCACATGGATGGGTAGATTGAGATACTCGTGGCCGATTGCCTTCTATTCTCACTTCCTCATTAAAAATACGTTCATTAAATTTCTTGATTGAATTTGTTCGATAAAACACTAAAAAACTACTCTAATACTATTCTGTTCCAGAAAACCTAATTGTCAACTTCTCTCAATCTCATTTTGCAGACATGTACTGCGTCAACTCTCGCTACATCCTTCCTAAGAAATAAAAGCCATCTCGAAATCAAGCTACTTGAAATCTTATAAGTCTCAGATGCCTTTTGGATGTGGAAATCAATTCCTGTTCTATCTTTTTCTCAATTGTATGTTCATAATCCTGTCTTAGGACATATTACTTCTGGGGCAAAGGGGGTTTTTTGTATGCTTTAGGTTGAGACAGTTTACACTTCCAAGGTGAGTAAATATTTTCAACAAAATCAAGCATTGGCAATATTCTTCATTCCCTCCAACTGTGGTACTATCAAAAATCCAACTACTAAATCAAAGAAGGTCAAGAACAAGTTTGTGAGTAGAAGGTATATGTGCCAGTTTACACTCAAAATGTCTAATTACAAAATTGATCTAGTTTAATAATTACAAGTGATTATAGATCATTCTCTGCTTCATATTGATTTTTCCTAGCATTTACATAAGTAATCTCTGCAAGGTAATTATCATGTGATATGATTGGTGATTTTAATTTTTGTACAAACATCGAGCTTACAAAACCTTCAATGGCTGTCAGTACTGATATGCACAATATTCAAGGGTACAGTGCCTAGACAGTGAAAAGTGGCGCGGGATGAAAATGGTGATTTTGCATATTTTATGCAAGTTCACCCTGCAGCTACAGAGTCAGAGTCAGCACTCCTCCTCTCTATTGGTTCACAAATACATAACACCCACCGACGGACAGAAAAATCAACAAAAGTGAGTTAATTTTCCTTTCCTATTTCCTTTCCAGCACCCCCAGCTCTCGACATCGCCCGCAAGCTAGTACGACCCGGCCGACTCCTTAGGATCATTCATCAAGGTAATCCCGCACTCATCTCCCCCTTCCGTGGATATGGCTAGCTGAAATCCTGCTGAACAAATCTGAACGCTCTCCACCTCCGTGATGATGTTTTAATCAGATGTCGAAGTCTTCAGCACCAATCGTCATCGACGGCAAGGGACATGTCCTTGGTCGATTGGCTTCCATCGTAGCCAAGCAGGCAATCTCTGGCCAGAAGGTTGTCGTCGTTCGTTGGATTGGGCGCCCGAGTTGACCGGAAACTTCGGCCGATATACGAGCAGTAACTGGGGCCAGCTTGGACCGATCATCTACATCCGCACCTCTCCAAGACTATCGAGCTCTCCCGGGAATACCTCCAACGCTCAGGCTTGCCCGTCCAGGCTTCCAAACTCACTACCCTCTACCTCGCCCCGATCTGCGACCATGTCGCCCAAAGGTACCGCCAAAAACTGCTCCCTCGACTGCGCTTCCTCGCCGCTCAATCCCGTCAAACATACTCCACCCTCGTCGACTCGGCTCTGGTCCGCAGCCTCCAGACCGACTATCTCCCACTCCTCAAACGCTTCCTCCAGCACAACATCCTCCGTCCTCCCCAGTCTCGCTAACTTCTACGCCATCCATCTCCATCCCCACCTCATCCCATTCGCTAAATCAATGTATCAGACCTTGTTCATCGACGATAATCCACTCAAAAACCAGCTCAAAACCCGGCTCCTTAGACCCGTCAAGGCCTTACATTTGATCTACGTCAAGCCTCAGATCAAAGCGATTCCTCCACCCGTTGACGATCATCACCATCCTGCTTCTGCGTATGGTCGCTTACAAAGATCAGCTGATTAGTTTAGGCTGGGGAACCCAAGCAACGCAGTTCCATGGCTCTCTCGGGAAATCGGCGGCAAGATCAACACACCGGCCCCTCATCCCCTTCCATCTCCCTCTCCTCCTGCCCTACTAGATCATCATAATCCTGAGCCTAATCATTTATTCTTTTTCCAATTCTTCAGATGCCGCAAAAACCACAGGTGGCATTCGAGCAGAAAGCAATCATCGTTGGCATGTCAAAGGCCGGAATGAAGCCAACAAAAATCTCTCAACAGACCGGTATCGGCCGAACGACAGTCTCTGCCATCCTCGCCCGTTCACTTGCTCGTGGGACCGTTGCAAGGCAGCCTGGATCTGGCAAACAGCCCAAGACTAGCGAGACCGACCTCCACCTGCTCGGAAGGATCCTCAAGGAAAACCCTCGCATGAAGATGGCGGAGGTTCGAGACCAACTTGCTGTTCCAATCAGTACCCGAACTGCTAGACGACGAGCTCACGATCTTGGTTTCAAGAATCGGGTGGCTGTGAAGAAGCCTTTCCTCACTGAAACCCACGAGCGATGTCGCTTGCAATTTGCCAAACGCTACAAGGACTGGACCCCCGACGACTGGAGGAAGATTGTGTGGACCGACGAGTCCTCCTTTGAAATTGGAAAGATTTCTCGACAGGTCGTCGTTTGGAGAAAACCCGAGGATAAATACAAAAAAGAGTATCTAACTCCAACATTCAAGAGCGGTCGAACTTCAACGATGGTCTGGGGAGCGTTTTTTGGAACCACTCGTGCCCCTCTCACGATCATCCCCCCCGGCCAACGAAAGGCCGAACAATTCATCAAAAACGTCTATGAGAAGGCCTTGATCCCCTTCCTTGAAGAAAACGACCCCAACCACGAACTCACCCTCATGGAGGACAACGCCTCGGTCCACACCGCTAAGCTCAGCCGTGAATTCCTTGACTCGTATTCAATTGAGAAAGTCGACTGGCCAGCACAATCACCTGACCTCAACCCCATCGAAAACGTCTGGAAGGTCCTCAAGAGTAACATTCAAGAGCTCTACCAGCCGCGATCCATCCCAGAAATGCACGAGGCCCTCCACCAAGCCTGGGCCGACTTCCCTAACGACATCCTTGACCACCTCATCGAATCCATGCCGCATAGGATGGCGGCTGTTATTGAGGCAAAGGGTGGTTCCACCCGATGGTAGAATAACACTCCATGGTATTGTTTATTACTTACATTGAACAAAAAAATTGAAAAAGACATAAAAAAAGCATAAAAGAAAAAATAAAAAATAAAAAAAATAAAAAAAACAATAATAAAAAAACTTTTTTGATTTTTTTTTTCATATTCTTTCTTCTCCACTCTCAGCGCATCCCCCCCCAATCTTGTGTATTTTTAGCATCAATATTAAAAAAACTACAAAATTTGATTTTTTTCAACAATTTTTATCTTTTTTTTGATTGCATGTGTAATTAATTTGTTTCTATATTCTTTTTCCCTGACCCACTGTGCCCCTGTGACAAAAAAATTGGAGTTGAAAAGTGGCTCCTTGCCCTCCAAAAAAAAATAAATGGGACACCATTTTTCACTGTCTAGGCACTGTACATGTTTGATCATATAACTCACAGAATCAAGGATATTGAAGATGTTTAATTTATGTATTTATGTGTCTTGACAAACCAATCAAATTTTGGTTGGGCTTGAAGATCATGAATTTTTGAGACGAGCTGAGATGGTGTTCAAAACTGCCAAAGTTTTACTTAACAGTAACAGTATAAACCATGATTTTGGCTAGGACCTGTCAATTTGAGATTGAAGTATGCTGACATGTCCCTGCCAAATCTGGCTTTATACTGTTATACTAAAAACTCTGTATGCAGTTTTGAACACCAGAGAACATTCATTTTTGAGTCCATTGTGAATGTTTTTTTTCCTCAGAGACATAGCAAAAACTACAATCAACCAGATTAAGGCCTGGTTTGGCTGCAAATCATGATATCTGATTTGGCTAAGGTTTGATGTGGATTTAGACTGTGTGATGCTAATCCCAGGTTTACACCACACATATGTGGTTGATGACCCGGAGTAGCACTAATCAACAATGGGCCACTACACTCTGCTTTTGTGCCCAAAAAGTGTTGGTGTAGCAGCTCTTTTTTTGCGCCCAAAGCCCGTAGTGTTAGCACTTTTGCAGCGGATTTCTGCTATGCTATGCTGCGCTACAGGCAGCCAACAGCGCTACAGGGCCAAATTTTTCACTAACCAGCATAGTGGACCCTTTTTTGGGGCCTACATTTGTAGTGTTAGTGCAGACATGGCTGAATCCTGCTACACTATGCTAAAGTTTAGCAGAATTGCACTACATTACACCACACTAACACTACAGTTAGCGTAACTGGCCCAAGGTTGCCCTTATCCGGTTGTAAGCTACTTGGCTACTCCTGAAGTTACATCCACACTGATGTGGTTGCTCTTATGGTGGTGCAAGCCAGTCTGGGCACACACCAAATTTGGTCAGTAAATTAGCCAAGCATGCTGGGCCATCCCCTAAAGCCTGTTTGGCCAAGCTCAAAGCCTTTGCACTACAAAAAAAGTTGAATCACATTCTGGAAATGTGAGGTATGTAACATTGCATGTCACATGGGATGTCACTTTGCATTTTTCAAAATGTGCTTGAATGTTTGGTGTCAAAAGTCGAATCACATTTTGAAAATGTGAAGTGACACAATATTGGATTTTACCTCACATTTCCAGAATGTGATTTGAATTTTTTTGTAGTGTTGACTTGTGGCACCCTCCCAACCCCCACTTGGCACAAAATCAAGTGAGGGTGTCATTCCCCCCATAAATTCTGGCCATCAAGAAAGGATCCCATCTTGCTGGCCAGTCTACAAGGCAGTCAACCTCTCTCCTAAATGACTGGTCTCGAACCGGTCATCAAGGAGGAGGCACTCCTTTTTTTTGATGGTGATCAGTACTATATTTGCTGAGCACCAGAGGGATATATATGATTCCCTACCACCATCAAAGATTCCCTAATTCTCAACAGTTGGTCATGTGTATAGCAGGCATTGAGACCGAAATCTCCCAAACTCGGCAGCTGGTTTTGTGCCAGCCATGGAGAGGAAATTGTGCCCTCTGAATCAGGCCATCTGGGAGGCGATTTCATCATATCCAGTTATATTCTATGCAAATACAGGTCTGGTTTTCCCAGCCAACAAAAAAGTGAGCGAGGGGGGTTGGACTTGGCTGTCATTGCATGAGAGGTTGTGGGCAAGTATTTTCCACCTTAGTAGTTGCTTGGGTCGGATGAGCCGTGAAACAGACCTTCCACAGCTTTGGATCTGCTTCCTTCTTGTTCCCCATCCTCGGAAACATCTCTCTATTACTATAAATCCTCAAGATCATGGTGATCTTTTTCACTTCTGATCGTAGCACAATCACTTACAAGAGAAGCACTAGTCCTTGATCATGACTTCAACATTTTTTTTTGGTCGGGCATGTCAACGGTACATACTTAGAAATGATTATTCTTCTTTTTTGGATTCAAGACAAACATGAAGTTGGGAGGACCAGATGGGTCGGTACCAAACGTGAACACCGGAGCAGCCACGCCTGTTGTGTTAACATGGGGGAGAGAAGCGGGCCAAAAAGAGATAGGGTCGGGGATAACCCTTTTTTGTTGTTGTTGGAAACGCGGAGTCTCCCTCATGGCTAACAGATATAAAGGGTATAAGAGTACAAAAAGAAAGGGTTTATAGGGTAAACAACCCCAACAAACTATGATCGACAAAAGTCGTGATGACCAAGCGTCGGTCTTGATGTCGGTGGGGAAAGGAAGGGCAGGACGAATCAGAGCATCAAGAGCGAGACGACGAGCGCGGAGCCGAAGGCGAAGGACATGCCGGTTTCGACCGGGAGCGCGCCGGCAGAGTTAGGGCGAGCGGAAGTCTAACACATGCACATTCATCAGAACCACGTCGATCGGAGATCGAGGACGAATACGCGACGAGGAAAGTGAATGAGTTTCTGCAAGTCAGTTTTTCTGTGGGCTTGTGATACTAGAGAAGAAAAGCAGCAACTGACGGAGGTATTGTTGAGCGGGGAAGAATTGGAAGAGGTCGAGGTGGAGGTATTGGTTCCGGGGGAAGTAGCATTAGAGAGTCCGTCGACGGCGATCTGGACGCCGGCGGCGGCACAGCTCTGCAGGTCCAGAGAGATCAGACAGAGAACGATTAATGATTGAGCCAACGGGAGCGAGTTAGATGAAAGAAATATTACAGACCTTGATTCCCCAAGCTTGTGCGCTGGCCAAGTCGCCGGCGGAGCAGGACTTGGAGTAGCAAGAACTACTGGCAGAGATGAACTCGGAGTTCTTGCAAAGACAGGCAAAGTCGGTCTATCCAATGAACAAAGAGAAAGAGCAATTAGTCAGAGGGAATGAATGTGTCCAAGGAGGAAACGAGAGGGAGAGACGAACAGGGGCACAGGATTTGGCAGTGGAAGTCAATGAGACTGCTAAGCAGTTACTGGCACAGGGGGGCAGACCGCTGATGTCCTGGGCGCCGGTGGCTGGGACGGAAACTAGGACGGTTCCGAGGCTGAACAGGAATGGTAAAGCGGTGAAGGAAAGCATGGTGATAATAAGATCAAAGGTACTTGGGGGATGGATGGTAAGTGTGGTTTGGTTATTTTTGTTTTGGTTGGGGGGATGGGATTGTGCTCAGAGGGGAAGGGGGGAGTTTTTGTACTGCCCGGATGAAGTTCAGCTGGTCATCATCATCCAGTGGATAATTGCAGATCATCATCGTCCAGCAGCAGGCAGAGCCCCCCCCAGCCAGAGGATACATGAAAAACACCACTGGCTGTCCGAGATTATCCACTCTGATAGTTCCAAAAAGGAACTCTGGTGGTCTGACCAGCTCACTCGGGCCTCTGCAGTCTCCCCCTTTACTAAAAAACCTGAGGACAAGAAAAGAGGAAGATTGCCTATTTCATACAGCCTCATCTGATGGCACCCGCTTATGGTCTGTGACTCTGTATCAATACTTTGTCCAATGAACGCATCCACATGCTTCTAATAACCAGTCAGTGATCATACTCACTACGGCTCGACCACCTCCCAGGCAGCCCGTTACGACAACTCACATCCGAGTCGATCCCAAGACCGTTTTACCCGATCGCCCAGCAGAAACCAAAGCAAGCGACTGACGATAGGGCACTCACTCTTGAGTGTAATAATCAGGCTATGGGAGCGAGCGGTTAAACAGACTCCGAAGTCCGATCGAGTCCAGAGAAAATGCTCTAATTAGGAAGCACTGTATATATGTAATAACATTACCGAGTCTGATGACCTTGGACTAGAACTACAAGAAGATCTATAGAAATTGGGGTTGGAGAAGATTGGACTCGAGCACTGAGAGGAAGAAGTCTTGCTTCCGGGGTCTGCTGTCCCCCCCCGGACCCGACGAACAACCACCGTGTAGTTCAACTGAGCGAGTCAAACTTGATAACCGTTGCTTATGTATCAGGGTTATCTCGATCGACCGGTGTGGGCGAGCGAGAGACGAAGCGGTCGGTGGTTTCGCTGGGACTTCGATCAGGTGGTTGGTTATCCTGTTCAGCTGGTGTGGGGGAGCGAGAGACGAATCGATTGGTAGAATGACTATCTCTACTGGGGCTCCGATTCCTATCATTATCCTCCTCCTCTCCATTATCCTCAGTATCCTCATCCTCATCATCCCTTCCTGCTCCTTGTTCCTCATCCTCTTGCTCATCAGCCTCCTCATGCTCGCCCTCAGAATCCGAATGGAACCCAAGCGCGACGGCCAAGCTAGATTTCCGAGGCGGCAGAGACTCGAGTTCTTCGAGCACCTTCCGGGACGTCAGACGAGGTAGGACGACCTCGAAGACGATCGTCTCCGTCAAGAGACTGTCGATCAACTCGTCAAACGTCATCAAGCCGTACGATCCGTCCAAGTTTCGCGTCCTCAGTTTCCGGTAGTCTTGCAGTAATGGCTCCAGGGTTTGGTATACATTGATCGGACTGAATGTTAGTCTGACATAGAATGCCGCCAATGCCCTCAGATATCTGATTTATAATTATCTTATCAGCAAGAGGGGGTGGACAATTTGATCTAAAACAAGTCCAGAGAATGAACCAACTGACTTGAATTCCTCAGCCCGAAGGTATTCGAGGATGATTTCTTTTTCGGGTTGGAGTTGGAGTAACTTGAGCAAGAGACAGATGAAGACGGTCGGTCTCAAGTTAGCGGTGAAGGTCGAGCCCAGATAGCTGAGCTCGAAGACGGTCTTGTCGATGATCGACTCCGCCGTCAGCCCGAAACACGACTCTTTCCAATACTCCGACTCGTAGATCCGGGACCTCAACACTTTGTCGATCAGGAATTGCGGGTTGGTCCCATGGATCGAAAGCGCCCCTTTGGCCGTCGTATTGGCCTATGATACCAGCCATCAGTACCATATCTTGTAGTCTGGAGCTAAATACATCGCGGATACTCACCATGGTTAGTAGTCTTAAGCTGGCAGTTGGAGTAGGAGATTGAGGCTGCTGCAGTCTTCTTGGTCTGATCTGTTCAGCCCCCTTTTGGTTTTGGGGTGGCCCCCCCTGCTGCGGCTCAGCCAACAAGCACCTCCCTCTCCACCACCAGCCTCTTGACTACTTCTATGTACTCCATATCTATCATCAATATGGCGCCGAACGCATCGATCACCAGTCTGAACCAGCTCATCCAATTGATACTCGACAAAGAGAAATCCACGGCCATCAACACCTCCCTCAAGAAGAGGCTCCAATCCACGATCTTCTTCCCTCCTCAATCAGAGCCATCCTTCAGGGAAACATCCGAAAGATGGAACCGAGTCTTGGAGCGTCGGAGGATCGAGAATCAGGAGATCGTCGCCCAGGAACTAGAGAAACGCGACGCAGAAATACAGGAGATCGCAAGGACAGAGGACAGCCAACTGGTACTTCCTTCTTTTTGCCTTCTTTAGCCATGTAACTTGTAAGGCTGACGAGCGCTGTGTATGTACAGTGGAAGAATCTCGACAGCATCCGCGCATTCTTACTCGAGTTGCACTCCCCACCCAGCTTGGAGAGCTATAACCGCGCCAGGGAGTTCCAAAGGGCTGAAGATGCCAAGGTCAGTCGTCGACCTGAAGATTTAACTTGATCAATCCATTGGACCGCCATGATTATTGATGAGAGGCGGGATCCTAGGAGATAGCTTCAAGTGGAAACACAAGCCGAGCTCGATCGAAAACTGTACCAGGTCATCATGGAAGCCGAACCTTTGGTTGGCGAGCACTGGCAGACGGACATCTATGCAGGATCTTCATCCTCTCTATCAGATTCGACACCTTCTAGCGATTGGAACTCTGACAGTGAAGAGGGGAAGCCTGACCCAGCTTCCGATCCCGAGGAGCGATTGTCCAAGTCCATCACTACTAAGGAAGATTTGCCCAAAGTTCCAGTCGATCAATTATCAGAGCCGGTCGATCTTCGAGACCAGGAGAGCTTGAATGCAGGCGTCCGGAAACTCGAAGAAATGAGGCGCAACGCCTACTGGTTGAAATCCGAGACCGAAATAGCAAACACTCCACTTCCGGAACTCATCGCCATACGCGAGGTTCTAGCAGCACTACTCAACACGGGTGGCGGGCTGATCTATAATGTTCCCAGTAACACCAAGGATCCGATGACGCTCTCTGCCCATGTGCCCACCCTGCTCGACAAATCACGCACGTCCAGCCTCTCCTTGCTGTCCTCTTTCTTGCCAGTCCTCTCGAGCTTGAGGAAACTAAGACAACTAACTCAGCCAAATGAGATTCATCTATCACCGGGCCGGAAGACTCTGACCGAAGAGGCATTTGCGGATGCCGTGCTGGGATTGTTGACTCACTTTGATGTCTTCTTGACGTCGATCGAACTGGAGTTGCTCAACTTACCAGGCCGTCATACCGATAGCGATGAGTCGAATGTCCAGTTTGAGTCGGTGTTTAGTTTGATGAGACTTCATTATCAACTCGATCAGAATGGTTGGATCGTCCTCTTCACCGCCCTTGCCGACGCCGTTCCAGATCCATTAGCATCCGCTCCTGATAATCAACACAGTTTAACAAAACTGCTCATGGACAATCTCTACAGAATCGCGTGTCAATTTGATTCGCATTGCAAGTCGGCCAATGCAGTCGAGCGAGTCAAAGTCATTTTCTTGAGAACTTGTGAGCCAGTTTGGAGGTGGGTTGGCGATTGGATCATTCACGGCAGACTACCTGCATCGCCTGGATTTGTTGGAGAGCCCAAGCGCCAGTCGAACGAAGAGTTTTTGATCCAGCCGACGGGATCAGGTGGATCGAATACCGCGGAGAATTGGTGGGAGGATCGTTACGTCCTCAAGCCATCCGCCATTCCCGAATTCTTGAACGACTTCGTGGCCCACATTTTAGAGGCAGGCAAAGCAACCGCACTGTCTCGCATCTTAGACATCCTATCCGACAACCATGAGATCCCGGATTGGCCTAAGCTTGAAGAGCTCGTGGGAGTATCAGCTCCTCTCGATTCTCATCCCAGCCAACCCACGGATCCTCAACCGGTCAATATTCTAAGGCTTCATCTTCGACATCTGGCATTCTCTTCAAGGTCTTCTAAAACGGTGCCGCGTGTTCACTCTGCTGCTGACGTGGTTGAATCAGAAGTCAGCTTCCATCAGGACCTATATTCGCAGATCAACCAACATCTTTCCCCATTGCTGGCCCAGACCCATTCCCGCCTTCACACTCGATTCTCTTCGCCGCTCAAGCTGAGCAGCTATCTGAAGGAGCTGAACGAGTTTTTCCTCTTGGGAAGCCAAGCCAGTGTTCAGTTCTTGAAGAAGACGATCGAGGATGCTAGCGAGTCTTCGAGATCCAGTCTCCTGACAACCGCTCACTTGCATTTGAATTCGACGAATTGGTGGGACGATCAAGTGATGAATGGCAATCTCTCGAAAGCGTTGGAATATGCACCCTCGTCGCTCCTTTCGGCTTCCTTGCCCAAGCTCCAGATCTCGCCCTCTATCCGCACGGAGGCGGACCCGCTGAAATGTCTCGAATCGATCCATTTCAGCTTGGCGATCCCGACGCCGTTGAACTATGTCCTAGACAATGCACATGTGATGAAGACCTATAACGATTGCTTCGTGTTTCTGGCCCAATTGGCTAGGGCATCATGGACGTTGGACAGCTTGATCTGGATCAAACCCTCGATCCCCTTCGGCTCATTCGCAGCATCAAAGCAGTTCGAACAAACCCCCGAAGCTAAAGAGTTCTGTCGCCTCAAGAATCGGCTCGCTTGGTTCGTTAATCTGATCTCCGATTACGCTTTCAACTCGGTCATCTTCACGTGGAAGATCCGCTTCATCCAGGCCCTTGATCTGCAGGTGGGCGACCTTAGTCAAACTATTCGGAATACTAGACATTGGCTCGCTCGCCTCGCTGGTTTGATGTTCCTTTCTGAACAGGTTCGTCTTAGATTATCATCCCCTCCCCCCCTTGAAACCTCATATCTGAACCGGGAAACTGACCATCTGACAAATCCTATATATATATAGTGTCAATCGTTGAACAAAACAATCCTACAAGTGTTACAACTTTGTACCCGAGTACACGAGGTCTGGACGAGGTTCAACCGACAAGTCAATACGTTGAAGTTGATTGAAGATATCAGTGAGACATATGTGAATACGGAACGAAGAAGACGGCGGATCGAAAGACGGAAGAGGAGGATGCGGAACGAGCAGTACAGTCTGCTGGAAGAAGAGAGTCGCCACATCGACCCTCTGGACGTGGACTCGATGGTCCCGCTCGACGCGGGCGATGAGGAGCACGAAGAGGATCCCGAACTGGACGAACAAACCGGCCTCGCTGGCAACCTCTCCTCGACTACTTCTCTCGATCAAACTGCTCAGAACTTGCTCCATCTCGTCGGCTCCTCTGTCCCGGATGATGATGCCCTTGAACAGTTGCAATCGATGAACGTCGAGTTCGAGAAACTCTTGCTTTCGTTCCAACGAGCGATCGGTAAACTTTGTCGAACCACCCTGCTCAAGTCTAACAACTATTTCCCTTCTACCTCCTCCACCCATCCTGATCTTCGTCATCAGCCCCTCGAGGATTCTGGGTTCGGCTTGGAAGGCTCCCAGGATTTGGATACTTTGACTTTATTGGAATGCAGATTAGATGAATGGATCACTTGATAATCCCTCTCTCCGTCTATCATCTGGCTCATATATCTTGATCTTAATTTGTATTCTTAGTAGTATCGTTTCCATCATGAGCTTTCATTTGTATTGGGCTGTTCTCTTGATCTGGCAGGATGTAATCTATTATAACACATTCAAACCTTAATGCGATTTCTCTGGTAACTCAATTCCATCATTCCAGAAAATTAAAATCAGATGGGAACTCCGAGAATCTAATTGGTTGTTGTAACTCCAGCACGGGTATTGCGTCTAGTGCCATCTCTACTGACACATGCATGGCCATTGTGGCGTAGAACATTTCTGTAGACTAAGTCCAACTTGCCCAAGGGGGGGAAGGGACAAGCTTGAATGATCTTGATGGCTTTTAAAAAAAAATAGCAGATCGCGCATTGTTGATAAAGAATGAGCATATGGGCGCGTATTTTTCTGGACTGTTATTCAAACATCATAGGTGCATATAGGGAGTCGATAAGGCGAGGGTATGTCCCAGTATCGTCGCTTGATGCCCTCCCATACGGCTTCACCCCCATCGACGGGGACTTCGGACCAGCTCACTCGGAGACCAGCTTCCCTCATATCCATCTCTGCCATCTCCGTGTAAATGTCATACAACGTACGCGAAGTGGCTCCGAGACCTGGATTTTTGTGTGTGTGTGTTTTAAGAATTCCAGCACCAATCGAGTCAGTTGAATGCCGCTTGAATTTTACCTTGGAGAAATGTAGGGGGGAAAGGATAGATGACGGACCATGGAACCAAGAGAATCGGGCCTCTGAGCCGGACAAGAGGTCGAACACGTTATCGAAAAAGCCCTTCAATGATCGATAGTCTTCTGAGAACGTATCCCAATAGATGACGTCGAAGTTAGCCTGAATTTTGCCCTCCTGAACGTCGACGAGGAAGTCTTGCCAGCGGCCGGGATAGATATGGACGCCGAGTTTGTCGGGCCAACCTTGGTCGCTGATGAACTGCAAGACATCGGGATGGGGTTCGATGATCACATGACGAGTGGGGTGATACTGCTGGAAGAAGCTGTCGATGATGCCGAGGCCGAAGCCGACGTTGAGGATGCTGAGTTCGAAGTCGGGCGTCTTGTTCCGGAGCAAGGGCTCGCAGAGCCGCTTGGCCGTCTCTCGCATGATCTCCGTCTCCCAGCCTTGCATCACCCCGTTCCCTTCCGAATCAATGCATAGGCGTTGCCCGCTCGTGCTCGTCTTGAACGTCAGCTTTGAGGCGAGGAATCTCGCATTGTTGGTCGCCGTCGAGCCCGCCTCCGTCGGCCCCTCTTCCTCTTCATCAGTCGCTTCCATCGTCAGTCTTAGCGCTTCCGCCCGGAATCCATGGTTGCTGATGATTTGGTATACTTCGACATGGTTCATTGAGAAGGCAACATCACCTGCATTCTAATCCAAAAAACAAAACAAAATGATAATCTTTGTAGTTCTGATCTTATAACCCGCTCCCGGTCACTTTCTTTTCGATTTCTGTCAATAATACGTACATAGCCGAGATTGTCAACCATGGCCCAAAGGGCGCCCTGTTGGAGGAGATATTCGACCGTCTGAGGGTTTCCGGAGCTAGCGGCATAATGGAGCGCGGTCCAGCCATCGTCGTCCTGCAAGGAGAGCGAGGGCAGAGAGGCTGAGCCAGATTGTTGCTGGAGCACCTCCTTGATTTCCGAGAGTTGGCCGGACTCGCAGATCGCGAGGAACGAATGGTATCCTCGTCTGCCTTCCTCGTCTGCTATCACTTCCCCAATCAACGCCCTCATCTCGCCGATCGTCGTGTTCTATGTGTATGTTATCCCCGGTCGACCTGGGTGGTGGTGTTCAGAGGCTGTGGCGAGTGGTGGAGGTCGGAGAATCGTTGGTCCGGCTCGGCCATCTCCCTAAAACCCTTCAAGACCCTTCCTTCTGATCATCACACAACTCCTCCTTCAACTCATCACCACCAAATATAATTTTTTCAAATTGAATATACACATATCACTGTGCTGGCCCATATTGTATACACCCCGCAGCAGAAACCAAATCTGTTGGCCACATGAAAAGGGCTCCAGCTTGCATGGTATTGTTGCCACTTGTAAATCAAAATGAAATGAAAAGCTGAAAGTAAATAAATATGTAGAATTGGAAATGAGTAGAGCTATATTAGGGGGTATCAAATATCAGAAATCCACCATTACAAACCAGTCGATTATCCAAAGATATTGTTCCCCCAATGGGTTCCCAAAGGGGTAAAACAAAGAACCAACATGTTTAAAAAATGGTCGGTTTTTTCAAAACCAGTCAATTGAATAATGGCGGATTTGGCTATATTTGATACCCCCTATTATATATAAACATGCTTGAATTAAATTAAATAGATGGGCAATGAAATATATATCCAACAATGATTTTTAGGTTGACTATCAAGGATTAACTGGCTCATAATATCTTATTAATCTCTGATTTAATTCATCAATGGAGTAGTAAAAAACATTGTTAAAGAAAGCCTGACTTTGACTAGAAATGACACCCTCTTCTTTTTGAAAGAAGATCTGATTCAAATTCTGATTATTCAACTCCTTCAAAAAGCGTGTGATCCAAATCCAAATCCATTCCTGTCTATGTGGTTTATAATTCTTTGGCCTTTCATCAGCAGGGAACGATAACCGTTGAAAGTTTGGGCTCTTCAAGATCACATCTTCCTGGAATGATAAGGAGAAATGCTTCAAAACAATGTTGAGTGCAGTTTGAAGGAGAAATTTGGTATCATACTTATGGCCATTAGATTCATCCACCATATATCTTTGAAGGATAGTGCTAATTGCGTCAATGTAAAATAAAAATAGAACCACCTTCTCTTGAAATCGACGACTGCGCTCAATGATTTTGATTCCTGTTCTATCCTCCCAAAAGCGATACCACAGGGATCTTTTGTTAAATAGCTTTGCAACAGACTTATCCTCCAGGTATTTTCTATTGCCCTTTCCCGTTTGGAACTTCTTCTCTTCTTCAGTAGTCACTCCAAACTTTCTTTTGTGATTCACTTCAGCAAGGCTTTCTTGAACTTCAAGTCTTTTTCTCTGCTTGGTCTCCTCCCGTCTGATTCTATATGCCTCAACCTCAGCTTTTTTGAAGATCCTATGCACATCTTCTGGTCTTCCTTCTGGAATGCAAAGCTGGCCAAGGTCAGACTGATCAATATCTTTGATGAGAAAAATCATTGCTTGTGAATGGGACTTGTCCAATATTGATTCATATTCTCTGTGTTGAAATGCATCTGCATTGAACTTGAGTATTTCATCAATACCTTTTGCATGTTCTGGTGGTGGTGGTGAAATTCCAGTATGTTCCATTTGTTGAAGATCATGAATTGTATCCATTTCTGATGGAACATCATCAAAATATGAGTATTGAAGTGAATTTCCACTCCTTGAAGATCCTGGACATGTGCTTGTTCCAAATCCAAGCTTAGTTTCAACCATATCAGTGGCCATGCTACCAGAGTTGTGAAATATTTGAGGAGTGATTGATTCATGATCAGGCCTAGTTAAAATTGATGGGCTCTGGACATAAGTTTCAGATGAATTTTGATCAATCTTTTTCCTTTTGTTTGTTGGAGCGTCAGGATGATAGTGGATATCCATCAAGTGCCCCAATGCAGTATTTCTAGATGTGTTTGACTGATTGATAGAAGGTGCATCAACATTTGTTGCAGATTGAAGATTTAATACTTGATCCATTCCTATCTCTGATGGAGAGGCTTGGGAGACTTCTGTTTCTGTTGGATTTTTAAATGTATGTTGATCATCTATCTGAGACTGAACTAGAGGAATTTGATCATCATAATTATCAACTTTCAAGAAGGATAAAATATTGGTGTATGGGTTTTCTTGTAGGATTTGCCCTAAAGAATTAGGGTTTTCCTCATCAAAATCTGTTTGTAAAATCTGTAAAAATGGTCCCCAGTCACTTTCCACAAGAGCTTCCATGTGATTGTGGTAGGTTGATGGTAGATTTTTTGAGTTTGGAACACTATCAGATTGAAGTTTTGTAGCTAAACTGGTTTCATCAGAGTTGCAGTGGTTTGGCACCAAAGTAGGGTATCATTTATGTGGAAGGGTTTGTTATCAGTCCAGTCAAAAATACTATTCCCAGGCTCCCATTCCAACTTGAGTTCTCCAGAATCCATGCAAGAAATGTCTCCTCCTATATATAAGAGGAAAAGGAAGGTTTTGATGTGAACCAACCCCATTTGAAAACTCTTCTGATGAGATTTGAGATAATGTTTGTTTCTGTTGCTTGGTACTGAAAGAAAAATTGACATGTATTCCTTGGAGGAGACTGTTGACATAAACTTCAATCTTGCTTATATTAAACCAGCAGAGACCAGAGGATTCTCTCACAAGGATACCATATTTTATACATTTGTTCAAAACTTCATTGAAACATCCCTTCACTAAGAGGCTATATCAATATAAAAATTTCTCAATACTCTTTGCATGTATTCCTCCATACAAAACCCATCTGCTGTGACACCATTAAACTCAGTATCCTTTCAGAAACATATCACTTGGAACAGTTTCAGTTTCTTGGTTTAACAAATTTTAAATTTTGAAGGTATGTTTCCCAAACTTGTTAAACTTCCATCAGACAAGTAAGACATTCATTAGGCAACTTCCCATAGCACTTAAGAAACCACTCAGAATTTAGTTTAAACTGCTTCAATCTAAATTCTTTGCAAAAAAATGTTTTTTCATAAGCCTTTTTGTGATGGCTGTCAGGTGAGCTGGTCTAAAAAACACTCTAAATGATGACAGAAAGTGCTCCTTTGCAGGTTTCTTGGAACCAGGGTTAGGAGTCCCCTGTCTAAAGTGCAAGGTGTGTTTGGGAGTTATCCCCCTATTTTCCTGGATTTTTCTTGCTTTTTTTGATAGTTGATGATAGTGATACTTCAATTTCCAGCCACAAAAAGCAAAGTATAAAATTTATCCACCAAATTCCCAAATAGGGTTTTTTCACAAAAGGAAACAGAAGGAACAACTTCTTGAATTCTGCCCCATGAGCCTCAAAGATTGAGACTGTTGTGAGGGAATCATTTTCCTTTTTTTACTAGAATTTGACAATAAGTTGAGGGGCTTGGTTAAATGACTCCCAAAAACTGGAGAGCCAACTCCCAAGCCCCAGATTCCCTGAAAAATGGGAGTCAAACCCCCAAAACCATTGACTGGTTTGGGAGTTGGCTCCCTAAAAAATATTACAAAAAAAGAAAACGGTTGACTCCCAAACCAACCAGGGTTTGGGGGTCGATGAACCAAAGACACTCACAGCAGCGGCCGGGAGGAATCCTGCCGGCCGCTGAGGTACACTCTCAAAGGCTGGGAGTTTACCCCTTGGCCGCAAGAGTGTACACCTCAATGACCAAGAGGAATCCTCTTGGCCATCAAGGGTAAACACTATCAACGGTGTGGTAAGACCAATCAAAACCAGTCACACTCTACAAACACCTTCCTGCACCCATCTCACATCAATTACATATCATAACAACCCTCAAATCAGCATCCTACATATGTGATACACTATTGGCCACCTCTACACAATACATGGACACCTCTATCAGAAACACAAAGGCCAACAACCCATCAGTAACACTCTACATGGATCACCAGCCAAAATTAGTAATAAAATAAATATAAATCAGGTATTAAGTGGGAGAAAGTCTACCATTCAAGAGAGCCAGACTATTAGGAAAGACCCCTATTCTTCATCATCCTTGTTTCTCTTTATTACATACCATGGCAGATTGTTACAGTTGTTACATATGTCATTTTTCATCCCTGTTGCCTCACCCTTGTTTTCCCCAAGCTACATATGTCATTCCCAAGCCTGTCTCCCAAGCCATGTTGTTGCCTTGTTACATGTACCCTGTGATGATGCCTTGATCCTTGTTTTCTTATCCCCCCTAGAAGACTTATATGTAGTGCTTTCTTGGCCCTTGCCATTTGTCCCCGATCAGAGTTATCATTATTAATCCCTGGTCATTGATCTAGCCGTATTTACTTGGAAATATATTTAGCATTACAGACTTGAGACATTTCACACAGACTTATTATCTTCATACCTTACCCTTTACATATCTTACATCTTCATTTAGCCACACCTTTCTTTAGGAGTCCATACTCTTATTTCTTGTTCTTCTTACTCTCCCAGTAACCAGAGAGGCAGCCCTTCAAGCTCTCATCCCTCTCTAAGCTCTATTCCCACCAAAGAGTAGTTCCACAACGGCTGATGGAAGCCACTGTAGGGGGGAATTGAAGAGTATAATAACAGGGGATTCAAAACTCTGGAAGGGCCGAGGAGAGGATATTTCAGTTAGCAATGTTGTGTAGGGTATTGGATATTTACCATTTTTCCTAAAGCACATTGTGAAGCTAGAAATGTGTTCTTAAGAAAGTTGATGAATTTCTCTGTTTTTAATTGAGTTGTTCTACAGCACAATACTTATAACCAATTGACACTAAAATTAAAAACCCAAATTCTTCTGGGAAATAAGCACAGAAAGATATGAATGAACTGAAAGATTTATAGTTGAATGTTGAAATACTTAAAAAAATGATTTTGTAATCACAATGAACTGTGAACATGAGACGGAAGTATCCAAATTCTAAAACATAACAGTTTCTTGGTTTACTAATGAGAATGCATTGGTTTGAAATTTCTTGATAATCTTTCATTTAACTTATCAATGGAGTGAAAAAAAATCCTGTTAAAAAAACTCTTACTTTGT